TAAACCCTTTCTCAAGCAATTCAAGCAATCTAAGAAACAAGAATAATTCGGCCAAGATTACTCTATTAATCGAAAACCCAAATCAAGAAATCCCAAGAATGAATCACAATCAATCGGATCTGCTTAAATTTTTAATTACAAATCTGAATTAACACCCATCTTGATTCAAAGAATAGAAAGAAGGAAAGATTCAACAAAGACCATGAAACCCTAATTGAATCTAGGTTACTGAATTCGCAGAATCAAAGAAGAAGACAACCTAGGATTTCTACATCAATCTTCGATCTTCTCTTCAATTCGTATTCAACAACCTTCTCTCCTTCTCCAACACTTCTCCTATTGAATTTTGTCTTCAGGGGTCTGAACCCTAATTTCCTTTTTTTCTTCTCTTTTATACTCTTCCTTTCAGCCTCTTTCAATTCTCTAAAGTCAGCCGCCTTTTGGAGCCACCCTTAGGGCTGCGATTGGGCTGGTGTTCTTGGTGGGCCGAACTGCTGTTGGGCTGCTCTCCTTGGTGGGCCGAAGTGTTCTCCCATAGGGTTTTGGCTGAGCCTTTCTTCTTGATGGGCCGAAGTGCTTCCCTTTTCGCCATATCAACATGTCTTCACGCTCTCTTCACCCTAGACTGTCTGAAACTCCTAGTTTCCTGAAATTCTGCTCAATTAGGGTAAAAACCATTGAAACTCATCATCAAAACCATTTATAAAGCAATAAAAATAATGTGTAGCATGCGCACACATCAAACACCCCCAAACTTAAGCTTTTGCTTGTCCTCATGCAAAGATATTACCCATAAACTGATCATTCCCTAGATTATTACCATCTACCGAATGAATTTTAGGATGAGAATGCATTAAGTGGTCGGGAATCCTGCATAAACATTTTGATTCATCCCCTTGATTGGCCACTCTTACCACATACATAAGAACAAAGGAAAGGAAGAACATGAGATTCTTCATGCTCCAGCACTCAAGTCCGTTCAATATGTATAACAGCTCCTTGACTGCCATAATTAACCATCACCTCGAGCATGGTCTCAAATCCTGTCAATGCACTAAATTGAACTTCCAACTATATTTTTGTCCCCTTGAACCTCAGCCGTCACTAAAATATTTAAATGTTTTTTTTTTGTGTGAGTGCATTTTATACTCCATCTCACACGGGTCACAGGCTAGAGGCAGATAACAATACTCATATTCTAAGTTGCTAGTTTTTCTATTCAACTTGAGATAGCGGAGTTGGGACTGAACTCATACCATAAACTGCTAGTCTTACTATTCAATTTATGACAGCGGAGTAATTCAGACTTTGTCCTTTCTTCTTCTCTTTTCTCTTCTTTGTTTTTTGAATCAATTGTTGAAGTTCATGCATTAACAGTCCATGATGCACTAATAGCTCGAATGATCATTAAGATTTCAATCAAGTGCACTATACACATGAGTAGAGTTAGTGCTGGTCATGATGAAAGTCCTATTCGACTTCCTCATCCTCATGTATTGTGATAAAATTGGATACTTCACAAGAACAAATTCTAGCAATTATAGTGATTTCCTTTGACTTCATCGTATTCCCTCTTGGAATTCACCTTATAGACAACAATAATATTGAGGGAATTTCCAATTCATGCAGCCTATCAATGTATTTATGTATTGGGGTGATTGAGGTGTATAGCTATATCCTCCCCCACACTTATCATGAACATTGTCCTCAATGTTCATATAGATAGAGTGTGAAGATGAATTCAGCAATGTGAGCAATGGGACTTCAAGCATTTGAAGGGGTTTAGAGAACTTCCCTGAAGAGCATTCTGAAATCTGGAATGGCTCCTTCATTGGACCCTCTAGCTGCTAAGGATCAAAAGAAACTAGGAGGAGAGAATGAGAAACACTAGGAGTGATCAACAATCTACAAAATTAACACCCTAAAAACTTGAATGATATGAAAAAAAAACAGAAAAACAAATAAATAAAAAAAAAACTACTCATCAGCATTGGGTTTCCTCCCAATAAGCGCTTGTTTTCTGTCTGAAGCTCGACATTCCAATGGCATCAACGATCATCTAGGTATACAGTTGATGGGGTAGGCACCGTTCCATCCACTATATATGGTTTGAGGCACTGACCATTAACCTTAAATGTGCCTTGTGTCGGGTGTGTCACCTCTACAGCTCCATGAGGGAAAACTTGTGATATGGTGAAAGGTCCAGACCACCTCAATTTTAGCTTGCCTGGGAACAACCGGAGGCGTGAATTATACAATAATATTTGATGTCCCACATGGAAGTCTGAATTCATCCATCTCATTTAGTTGGATTCGTCTCTGTTCAACTGCGGCCTGCAAGTCAAAATTTAATAGCTTCAGGGCCCAATATGCCTTATGCTCAAGTTCAATAGGTAAATGACATGGTTTTCCAAAGACCAACCTATATGGGAACATGCCGATGGGTGTTTTGTATGCAGTCCTATATGCCCACAATGCATCATCTAGCTTGACTGACCAGTCCTTCCTAGACGAGTCTACCGTCTTCTCTAAAATTCTTTTTAGTTCCCTATTAGCTAATTCGACTTGGCCACTGGTTTGAGGGTGATATGGGGTTGCTAATTTATGCGTGACACCATATTTTCGCATCAACCGCTAAAATTGGGTGTTGGAGAAATGAGTTCCCCTATCACTAATTATGGCGCAAGGAGTGCTGAATCGAGTGAATAACTTTTTGAGGAAATGCACTACTCTCCTAGAATCATTTGTGGGTAAATCCATGGCTTCCACCCATTTGGACACATAGTCAACAGCAACTAGGATGTATTTATTTCAAAAAGAATTTGGGAAGGATCCCATGAAGTCAATACCCCATACATCAAAGATTTCACAGATATATGTATTAGTGAGAGGCATTTCATTCTGTTGAGAGATGTTACCTGTCCTCTAGCATTGGTCACATGTGGACACATACCTGTGAGCATCCTTGAACAAGGTGGGCCAATAGAAACCTGATTGTAACACCTTGACTGCAGTGCGGTTGGCTCCAAAATGGCCTCCTGCTTCTCGATCATGGCAATATCGGAGTACCGACTCCATCTCCTCGTCGGGGACACACCTCCGAATGATCTGATCTGCACAAAGTTTATACAGAAAGGGGTTCTCCCACAAATAGTGTTTCACATCAGAGAAGAATATCTTCCTCTGCTGATATGAAAGGTTAGGAGGGAGAACGTTTCCAGCAAGATAATTTGCAAAATCAGCATACCAAGGGGATGTATCTACCTGAATGGAATAGAGCTGCTCATCCGGAAACTCATCTCGAAGGGTGCTAGTTATCTTCCCTTCCAAATTTGCATTCTCTAATCGGGAAAGATGATCTGTGGCTAGGTTCTTGGTACCCTTTTTGTCACGGATTTCAACATCAAACTCTTGTAGCAACAGGATCCACCTGATCAGCCTTGGCTTTGCATCATTCTTTGCAAGTAGATGTCTGAGTGCTGAGTGATTTGTATACACAATGACCTTGGACAAAATCAGATATGAACAAAATTTATCAAAAGCAAAAATTACCGCTAGTAGTTCCTTTGCTATCGTGGTGTAATTCTGTTAAGCTCCATTCAAAGTCCTGCTAGCATAGTAAATTGGCTGAAAATGTTTGTTCACTCTTTGTCCTAGAACAACTCCAACTGCTGAATCACTCGCATCGCACATCAACTCAAAAGTGAGTGTCCAATCCGATGCTATTATGATCGGGGCATTAATCAGCTTGTCCTTCAAGATGGTGAACGCTTCTAGACATTCCTTTGTGAAATCGAATGGCACATCCTTTTGTTCGATGTTGGTGGTGGCAACATCTGTAGAATCCTGCATGTCCCAAGAAGCTTTTCACAGACCAGACGGATGTTGGTGGTGGCAACTTCCCAATTGTCTCCACCTTGGCTTTGTCCACCTCAATCCCTCTCTGTGAAACCTTATGCCCAAGCACAATACCTTCTCGCACCATGAAGTGACATTTCTCCCAGTTCATCACTAGATGGGTTTCCTTGCAATGCTTGAGTACCTTTTCCAAGTTATGTAAACATGCGTCGAAGGAAGAACCAAAGACTGAAAAGTCGTCCATGAAAATCTCCATAAACTTCTCAACCATATCAGAAAATATCGCCATCATGCACCTATGGAATGTTGCTGGAGCATTGCATAAACCGAATGGCATCCTCCTATAAGCAAAGGTACCATAGGGACATGCGAAGGTGGTCTTCTCCTGATCTTCCGGTGAAATCAGGATCTAATTATAGCCCGAATACCCATCTAAGAAACAATAGAAACAATAGAACTCATGTCCGGCTAGCCTCTCTAGCATTTGATCGATGAAGGGTAGAGGGAAATGATCCTTGCATGTGGCTTCGTTTAATTTTCTGTAATCAATGCACACTCGCCACCCGGTAACCATCCTAGTCGGTATGAGTTCATTCTTCGCATTCGGTACCACAATCATGCCACCTTTTTTTGGCACTACTTGTACGGGGCTCACCCATGAGCTATCGAAGATCGGATAAACGATACCCATGAGCTACCGTCTAATAGCTTGATGACTTTTGCCTTCACCACATCCTTCATGTTCGGGTTCAGGCGTCTTTGGGGCTGAACCGAGGGCTTTCTTCCATCTTCCATCAGAATTTTGTGAGTGCATATGGACGGGTTGATACCCTTGATGTTTGCTATCTTCCAAGCCAAAGCTATCTTGTGTTCCCGTAACACCCGCAACAGTTTTTCCTTCTGCAAAGGGGTCAAGGCTGCTGATATGATCACTGGTAGGGCTAATGGTGCTTCTAAGAAGGCATACTCCAGATGCGGTGGGAGTTTCTTCAGCTCAAGGGTGGGCGGCTCTTCGATTGAATGCTTGCTTTTTGGCATCGAGGGTCTGTCCAAGCTCTCCAACTTGATGAACCCCTTCCCTTGAAACTGCGGATTGGCATTCAGGTACGCCACCATGCTTTGCATCTCTTCGTTTGCTTCCATTATGGCTTATCCTTCTTGTATGCATAGCTCAAGGGGATCGGCCGACCTGTTAACCTGAAAACAACCACCAACCGCATAATCAATAACATCTATCATGTAACATGAATCATCACTAGAAGATGCATGTTTCATAGAATCAGACATTTTAAAAATTACTTCCTCATCTTGAATCCTAAGGCTGAGTTGCCCTTCTTGGACATCAATTATTGCCTTTCCCGTAGCTAGGAAGGGTCGCCCTGGGATAAGTGGGACATCAACGTCCTCTTGCATGTCTAACATTATGAAATCTACTGGAAAAATGAATTTATCAACCTTAACAAGCACATCTTCTATGATTCCCCTAGGATGCTTGATGGACCTATCGGCTAATTGCAATGCAACTCTAGTGGGTTGGGGTTCACCCAACGATAATTTCTTAAAAACCGAATAGGGCATCAAATTTATACTAGCTCCTAAATCACACAAAGCCTTGTTAATTTTCAAACTGCCTATAGCGCAAGGAATAGTGAAACTCCCTGGATCTTTCAGTTTCTGAGGCAGCTTGTTGAGGAGGATTGCTGAGCATTCTTCATTAAGTGCAACTGTAGCCACGTCTCCCAGTTTCCTTTTGTTCGCCAATATTTYCTTCAGGAAATTTGCATAGTGTGGCATCTGGGCTAAGGCATCTGCAAAAGGAATATGTAAACTCTTGAAAATTTCAAGAAACTTATCGAATTCCTTTTCCATTTTGTGTTGCTTAAGCCTATTGGGAAATGGTACTTGCAGCTATTGACTTGTCTCCTTCTTAAAATCAGACTGCTCTTCCTCTTTCTTTTCGGTTTCTAGGGTTGCGCCCATCTTACCTTCTTCCTTTGCTTTCTTCTCCACCTCTTGCAGCTCCTTACCACTTCTCAAAGTAATGGCTTGCACCTGCTCTCTTGGATTTGCTTCGGTATTGCTGGGTAAAGCGCCTTGGACTATAGAGGATATCATCTGTGCCAACTGCCCCACTTGAGTTTCCGAGTTCTTGATTGATGCCTCTTGGTTCTGAAATCTCGTTTCCGCACTTGCTATGAACTTGGTCATCAGCTCCTCTAGATTAAATTTCTTTTCTGGCTGAGTGAAATTTTGATGGAAGGGTTTCACCACATTTTGATTTGACCAAGACAAATTGGGGTGATTCCTCCATCCGGGGTTAAATGCACGAGGGTATTGATTACCTTGCTGCCTTTGCAAATTCCCTATGAAATCTACTTGCTTGGGGGACTGCATGAATTGATTTCCAACTTGACATTCAGTGCTTTTATGACCTCCCCCACACCATTCACAGACTACGGTTTGGACATGCATGGCTGCCAATTGCATTTCATCTATCTTCTTGCTGAGGGCGCCGATTTGTGCAGATAGTGTTGTATAGGTGTCTACATTGTGAAGACCGGGTTGTCTCCTAACTTGGGCTATTTCAGAATGCCACTGGTAATTGTTTGCAGCCATCTCCTCAATGAGTGCATGGGCAACTTCAGGGGTCTTGTTATTAATGGATCCTCCAGCTGCAGCGTCCATAATATTCTTATTTGCTTCGGTCAATCCGCTATAGAACATCTGAACTTGGAGCCATACGGGAAGTCCATGATGAGGGACCTTCCTCAGTAATTCCTTGTAACGCTCCCATGACTCCTACAATGACTCCCTATCCTGTTGAAAGAAGGTGGTGATATCATTCCGCATCTTTGCAGTCTTGGACGGAGGGAAATACTTGGATAGGAAGCGGCTAGCCATTTCATCCCAAGTAGAGATCGATCCAGCTGGTACAGAGTTCAGCCAAATCTTAGCCTTGTCCTTCAATGAGAACGGAAATAATCTAAGCCTCACCGCATCATCACTAACTCCATTGTGCTTGAATGTGTCACATATCTCCAAGAAGTTGGCGATGTGAGTGTTTGGATCTTCATTAGCTAAGCCGCAGAACTGAACTGTGTTCTGGATCATCTAAATGATTGCTGGTTTGATCTCGAAGTTGTTAGCAGCTATTGCTGGTCTCACAATGCTCGAGGCTGCCCCGGTGAGGGTTGGTTTGGCATAGTCCATCATAGTCCTTTGCTTGGCCATCTTTGTACTTTCAGCTTTCTCTTGCCTAGAAGCTCTAATGCGACAACGGAGAGTTCGTTCAATCTCTGGATCGTAGGTGATGCTCTCCTTTTCACTTCTACGTGTCATAAACTGTACAAGTCAAAGTCATAAAGATACTAATATACACATATCATGAACATATTGCACAAAATCAGATTAACAATAGTAGAAGGTTCCTAATATTGTTGTGATAATCCCCGGCAGCGGCGCCAAAAACTTGGTGCGTTTAGAAGACACTAGCAAGTGCACTAGCCAATCAAGTAATATGATGATGAGTAGAGTATTGTTTCCACAGGGATTAATCCAACAACTACTAGTACTGAATCAGCCTTTTGTTATCTGACAAACCGAAAGATTAAACAAAGAAAAACCTAACTCCTAATTAGCAAACTACCCTAAGCATTCTTGGATCAGACCGCCTTTAATGATGAGAAGAATTACTGCATGCAAATACTAGCAGAATCGGTTTAGCAATTAAATCATTAAGCGGTCCAACCGAAGTGAATTCAGTCATGGGTTGGCTAAACCCTAATTGTATGAGCAGCCTCTCTCGAGCACAACCCACTCTATCTATGAGCAACAATTCCTATATCTCTATCAGAAATTTAATCGCCATAGATGCATTAAGAACAAGGATTTCGACAGAAATTAATTCTAGTTGAATGAATGCCAAACGAATCATGCATATTATCTCTAAGATGCATTCAATCCATTTTCTTGATCAGTTGACCTGATTACCTAAACCCTTTCTCAAGCAATTCAAGCAATCTAAGAAACAAGAATAATTCTGCCAAGATTACTCTATTAATCGAAAACCCTAATAAAAAAATCCCAAGAATGAATCACAATCAATTGGATCTGCTTAAATTTTTAATTACAAATCTGAATTAACATCCATCTTGATTCAAAGAACAGAAAGAAGGAAAGATTCAACAAAGAAAAACCATGAAACCCTAATTGAATCTAGGTTACCGAATTCGCAGAATCAAAGAAAAAGACAACCTAGGATTTCTGCATCAATCTTCGATCTTCTCTTCAATTCACATTCAACAGCCTTCTCTCCTTCTCTAGTCTTCTCCTCTTGGATTTTGCCTTCAGGGGTCTGAACCCTAATTTCCTTTTTTCTTTTCTTTTATACTCTTCCTTTCAGCCTCTTTCAATTCTCTAATGTCAGCCGTCTTTTGGAGCCTCCCTTAGGGTTGTGGTTCTTGGTGGGCCGAACTACTATTAGGCTGCTCTCCTTGGTGGGCCGAACTACTATTGGGCTGCTCTCCTTGGTGGGCCGAAGTGTTCTCCCATAGGGTTTTGGCTGGGCTTTTCTTCTTGATGGGCTGAAGTGCTTCCCTTTCTGCGATATCAACATGTCTTCACGCTCTCTTCACCCTAGACTGTCCCAAACTCCTAGTTTCCTGAAACTTTGCTCAATTAGGGTAAAAACCATTGAAACTCATCATCAAAACCATGTATAAAGCAATAAAAATAATGTATAGCATGCGCACACATCAAATTGACCAGATTGAGAAGCGAGTTGTTTTGCTGGCCCACGTGTTTTGGAAAGCTGGTCTCAAGGGGTCTCTGTTTCTTTTTGTGCAATCTCTAAAAGATTTAGCCAACGCCTCAAGGTGGTTGAGTCGATCTTTCAAAGGAGACAAAAAAGTTAAACGTCCTTCTTGATGAGTGCGGTCGTCAACGGAAAATAGGATCATAGTATGAGGTGGAGTAGGAGCTGTTAGATTTTGAAGCATGGAAGCAGAGTTTGGCAGAGATAGCCCGTATGAGAAAATGGTATATGGTGTGAAATGTATATGAACTCTATACCATATAAATTACTCAGATTTTCTAATGAAAGGCTATATCTGTTTTTACTTTTGTATAGTGTAACTTAATTTTCTGTTTGATTTATAGCCTTCTATAATTTTGGCAACATAGAAGTGTTGATGGGTCTGTCTTGATTGAGCACATGATGGTAGGCCTTAGTAGGTTGAATGTGGTGCTAGTAAGCTATTCAGGCATTGTGTGTCCTACAGATGCGGGTTCTATAATATTTTCACATTGGCATCCCTGTACCAAAGCCCCTTAGTGTGTTTGAGGTTGCAACGATTAGATATCAATATTTCTGAAAAAAGTAACTATATGTAAAAAGGTTGGATTTTATCGCATACGAGAAACTTGAATACTGTCCCTCTTGAGGAAATTGAATTTTGTTGCATTTGAAGAAATTGAGTTTTACTATGCTTGTGAAAGTTAGAGTATATCACAGTTTAGGAAATTAAATATTTTTCAAAGTGAGACTACATCGCACACAAGAAACTTAAATCCTATAAAAGGTCATCACGTGTGAAGAGTTTAATGCATGCGTTGAACCTAAGTACTATTGCATGACGAAGAGATGTATTTCATCGCACATGCCATAACTAAGTACTGTCACATAAGAATAATAGACTTCATTGCACATACCGAAGTTAAGTACTACCGTATGGGAAAGATAGAGTTCATCGCATATGAAAAGTGAATATCGCACTCGCGAGAGTTAGAACTCACCGCAATTGTGAAAAGAATTAAGTATCATCACACAAGGGTTAAGTGTCACCTTGTTTGAGAGTATTATTGCGTTATTAAAAAAATGAGTGCCCCTGTGTGCAAGCCGGTAAAGCTTCATTGCATATTGAGGTGACAAAATGTCATTGCACTCTTAAGAGAGCGCATTTGCATCGCACACGCGTGGGAAAAATAAATGATGTTCAACTGAGAGTTAATTATCATGTATATAGAGATTAGGGAAGGGAAGGGAGATCCATCATATGGATGGTTGAACCTTGCAGGGAGGTTGGGAGAAATTTCAAAAATTTTCTTTCTCCCTTCCGGGAATCTAATTCCCAAATTTAGAAAACTGCATTTTCAAGGTACGTTCTTGAAACAAACATGACCAAATTTGAAACCAAAAGAGGAAGAGGAATACCTGATATGGAATCCATGCAAAAGCTACTCCCAATGTAGGTGTTCACACCCAAAGTGGTCACCAAAACCCGCCTCCATTGAAGATGACACAACCTATGTTGAGGCAGGATTAGCAAAGGGGTTCTTCACCAAGAATCGAGTAGGGAGTATGTGGGCACGACTTCATATTGTTTCTTCTACCAAGAAAAAATATCAAGAACTATTCTTGATCACTCCAGGAGGTGGTGATCAAACTAGGTAGGGCAGCAAGAGCAGAGGGAGAAAAAGATTGTAGAAAGAATTTCTTCTTTAAGAAGAATTCGCCCTCCTATTTATAACCTTCTTTGGATCAACTTCCTAATCCAATTAGGAAAGAGTTCTTTGATCAAAATCTTTATTTGGATTTGGACTCTTAAATGAATAAGACTTATCTTTTCTTTTAGCTATTACTAATTAGATTATAAATCAGAATTTGCCGATTTAATTAAATCACTTAAGCTCAGTTCAAAATGGGCTTTAGGCCCATTTAGTCTCATAGCTCACTTTCCCTTTAAATGCTGGCTAGTTTGGTTCTCCTCATATGGTGTGGGACCCTAGCATTGATCTCCACAAAAGCCATGGTTTAGCCTAGCCTCTGTTACAAGGCCTGGCCGAATTCGCTGTTGAAGATAGTGAACCCCTAAGCCCATCAACATGGGCTCTTAACAGGCCCAACATTTACACTAAATGGACCCTAAGTCCAGGCACCTTATGAAGGCCCAAGGACTATGGACTTATGTGAGACTAGCCCATCAGGTTTATTATCCCTAAATGGTCTTACACTTAACCTCTCAGCCCTTAATGATCATACACTGCTCGACAAGAGAGGACCTCTCCCTCGACTGCAAGGTACAATGTTGCACTCTCTACTCACATAGATCCTGGGAATTAAAACCTTTTGCAAACATTTTGGGAAACCATAATATATATGTATATCTCTATATAAATATATTTTGCAAAACAAATCTTAACAATTTGAAATCAACTGTCGGCAGTTTAGGTTTCTATCAGAGAGAGTGCATTCCCCGATTATTCACTTTGTCCGACAAAGGGGTTAATTCTGTCACTATGATCACCCACTAAGATGAATTCTCAGACTACCCMAACATACCCAGGTTTTGACCATTTCTAAGGATCTCACTGATTGACAGATCAAAGGCAGCCCAATCTGACACCTAGTGCAATACCATAGTCGAGTCTAGGGGTCAGGTGTAACTTAGTCAATGGGTTTCTTAAACACTTTCTGTGTCGAGTCGAGTCCAAGGTCCAAGGATAACTGGAAAATGGTTCAGTTTCAGAGTTTCAAGTAAACCCAAGCCTTAGTCCCAAACAGTCCATGTGTTTCTCAAACACTTTCTGGGTCAGTGACTTAGTCAATGGGTTTACCACATTCTTCGTTGATGCTACCTTCTAATAACAATCCTCCCATAGGTCCAATGTTGTTACACAACAATGGA